GATTGAAGAGAAATTCATTGAAACTTTTGTTTTTTTTAATAATTTTTTCTTATTACTGTTAGACGACAAAAGATGGGTTTTTTTACTATCGATCCAATTCTCTTTAGTCTGAGTATATTCCAAGCAGTTTGTATGGGTTTTATTGCAATCAGTGCACTTTTCTATACTCTAATCATTTGTCTCAATCGTCATTTTCGTTCAACTACGAATGCTATGACTGTTAATTATAGTCTTGCAGCACTTTCATATGTCATTTTCTGTGGATCTTACTATGGATTAACATTTCGTGATGATTATTTCAGTATTATTAGCATAAAAACATGTACTCTGGTAAACTATTTAATACCTGTCATCAATAGCTATCTTATATATTCAATGGGTGGAGTTTCTGTTAATCGTCTTTGTGTAATTGAATTTCATCGTAAAAGAATCTTTAAAAAAGGTTTATGGGTAGGAATTTGTATGAGTTTTCAATTTATTCTATCAGTCATTTTACCTTTACCAAATTTATTCATTGATCAGAGCGTAAGTTTAAAGAAATCTAATGAAAATTTTTTATTTATTATGATTATATTCTCATAGGAATGTGTACAGAGCCACTATCCACTTTGGATACACTTTTATACATTTCTTACTCTAATCATTTTACCAACAATTCTTTTTGGTAGTGTAAATATTATCATTTTCAATTTTGTACGCAAATCAACACGTCGCATTCAAACAGAAAATTCTGCGATTACGATGATTTCTAGACGATTTGTTGTCACTCGACGTGATGCCAAGTTACTTAAGAATATGCTGCTAATGTTTCTGGTTTTTACTCTTGGTTGGACTCTAAGTTATATTTTTCAGTTATTTAATGTTCCAATCAATATTTTTACATTGCGATTAGAATTTACATTAATTATTTTACCTGCCATTAGTCTGTTGGCAAATATGATCATACTTTTTTACTATAATAGAGAATTGCGTGTTTATAGTCTCCAATGGATACGCAGACGATTGGTAAGACATACTCAAATGACTATGAATACCAATGATGCGAATAACATGCAAAGTACAAGACCCTAGATTAGAATGAAAAACAGATTTTAATGTAACAATCAACGATTGAAATTGAAAAAAAAAAGTTTTCTTTTGTATCTATTATTGCAACATCAATTTTGCTATCTATTATAAAGACATTTTAACTGAATGGCGAATTCGACTTGATGCAAAGTGTCAAAATGGAAAAACATAGTCTTGTCCATTTTTCGACCAGAGATCACTCAATATCCTATTTTTCGAAAAATCTTGATTTTTTTTTCTCTATTAGAGTATGATCATGTTCTTTTCTACTACATAAATCGGACAATTTGTTTTTTTTTAACTTCCAATTTATTAATAAATCCTACTGAGAGACGAACGAAAGATCGTCAACACATAGAATCTCTTTTTCTAAATTTTTTATTGATGATGATAATCTTCTTATAATTTTTATACGTCATGATTGAGAAAGATATCCATTAAATATATTAATTATTTTCCTTTGATTATTATTTTTGGTGGAGCTCACATATATTTTCGAAGAAAATAATGAGTGAAAATTTTAAGTTCAAGTTTTCGTGACTCCTCCTTCAACCCCGTCCATTACACACACTTAGCAACGGGAGACCCTATTACAGACAATTCCCCATCACAGTATATGAGTTCCACATTTCAGCCCCAAAGGAGCTGCGCTAACAAGCTTTTTCTGTTGAAGACTAACTATGATGAATCATTCTATGTAATAATATCAATGTAAGAATTCGTAAAAAGAAAGAAAATCTAAAACAATTTATCAGAAAAAAAAAATATTAAGACTGACAATCATATCCAGCACAACGCGAACAATCAATTGAATAACATTTTGTCCAATAACCATTACATTGTCCAAAGCAATCTGGCCACATTGTTTTACAAGATCCGCTAAGACATGTTGTAATCATTTGATTACAATCACCTTCATTCATACATGATGTCGGAAAGGAATCTGGTATAGTACATCGATTATCAACACATTTACCACAAGAATATAAAAGACAATCAGTATAATTGTTGCAATAGGCACCACATTGTGTATAGTTCGATGAAAATGAATATTTTTCTTGCACTTGTTGAATGAATATTTCAGGTAATGATATTTTCCATAATTCTTGATGTTCATAGTAAACAACTACAACAAATAAACTTTCGTTAGTAACACCAAGACGTGCTACACGACCTTGTGCCACAGATGTATTGAATTTCCAAACTGGTTCATTAGATGATGGTAAACGACCAATAATAAAATAATCTTGTGCAGTCAAATGTAAATGATCATGTCTACGAACGGTAGTGGTTACTGGATAATTTACATAGAAATTATTATTCGGTACACTAACATTCCACAATAATTGACCTTTATCACCGTCCCATAATGATAAAATTTGTCGATATGTAAAATCACCTTAAAAAATTTCAAATGATATATTGAAAATTTATACAAGAAATCGATTTCTTACCAAGATAATTAATATTAATAATACTTGTATCATTGATCGCACTATCAACACGTTCGTCATACGTTGCTGGTCGTGCTCTTAAAAATCTCAATGTACCATTTTCTCCATTGAATGCCATTAATGTTCGTCCTGATAGATACACAATTCCATTTTCATTTGATGATGATAGAGGATGACCAATAGATAACCAATGTTCGGCTGTATATAACCAATTTCGATAGATTAATTTTCCAGTAACAAGATCAATTCCCATCAAAGAATTATTTCCATAGCCAGTCGGATAAATATAACCAGGCATTGTTGATACATATACACGTTTTATTTTTGAATTAATTGATGGAGATGAAACGAATACATTAAATGTACTGACTTTATCTGCCATTGTTAAATTAGTTGTCCACAATAATTGTCTCTTAGGTAATGATGCATCAAAACATTGTAATAAAAAATTAGGTGTCTTCCAGAGATAATCATAAGATACAGCACAAATGTGTGCAGATTTTAAATCTACTTGAAATTTTATATAATTTGATATAGTAAAATTATGTCGAACAGTTCCATTTATTGCATGTAGACCAATTAGATGAGATGAATTGGTAGATTGAGAGAATTGAGCAAACCAAATAGATTCTAATGATTTATGAACGATAACAATGGATGATTGAGGTGTTAAATCATAAGTATGATTCCAGACGACTTTATTATTAGGTGTTATACGAGCAATACGCAAACCACCTATTGGATTATACTCATATTCAGATAAAATGACATCTTGATCGTATGTTGTTACAGCAACAAATGGAGATTGATATGTAACATTTCGAATCCATTCGATTTTTGAATTTCGATATTGACTATTGAATTTCTCTACAGGCAAATTTAAATGTCTAGTTTCGAAAAGACCATGTTTATGTCGGATTGATGTAGAAGTGTCACTTTTTCTTTCAGTGTAAGTTGAGCAGGATTTTTTAGATTCAATTATAGATAATAAAAATATCACTAATAATATGAAAAACGTGTATGACAATCGTTGCATTTTTACTCTTTTACAATATGAAACTTCACTATGCAAATAGAATGACTTATGTGAGAATAAAATAAGATGTGTTCTTTATTTTTATGAAAAGAAAATGATAAGCGAAATTTACTAAAAAAAAAGAATTAAACTTTAATATTTTCTTTGACACATTTGGTGACGATGTGGTTCACATACAGGTGATATGTAAATATTGAGAAAAAAAACCGTTGACATACTACTAGAAAAAAGCATATATCGTTTTTCGCTCATTTTATCTTTGTTTATATTTAATTTAGCCGTTATAAAAATGACTATTTAATCAATTTATTCGATCTTGATGAAAAGTTTTTTTTTCTGATGATAAAGTATCCATTTTCTATATTTCACACGTTTATGATATTTTATAAGTTCTAATTATTGAATTTTGACTGCATGAAACTTATATTCTAAAATTTTTGGATCAATTCAGTATCGACAACATGTCTGGGTCTTGTTAAGCATAATTAGCTGTTCAAATCTATCCTTCAGTATTTAACTATTAATAGAATACATACTCATTTATATAGTATTGCACAATAAATCAATTTACACTAAATAATTTAAGAATATCTGTCATTCAATTAATATTGCACAATCAGTATGATCCGTAGTTAGTTACTAAATAGTCATTTTAATTGGATTATCGGTTGATAAACAGATAAATACAGACAAATTATTGTTTTTAAATCGTATCGTTACAATCTTGAGAATAAAGATTCATAGTTATTGCTATCAAAAAAAGAATAGAGATATTAAAATAATAATATTCATAGAAGAAAATATTAGAATCAACAATAAATATTTTTGTTATGATATTATTAGTATGAATTTTATTTATATAATGATGTATTCTTGTATTAATCTGTAATATGAAATCAAGAGAAAAGAACTTAAATACAAGTTGATTTGGATTAAATTTTATTTTTATTTAAATGAGAACTATCTAGATTACCTCATTAGAATATATGAATTAATATAAAGGAAAAAAGTGTTTCTTTTTTCTTCATATAACTAAGATGTTTGATTAACATTATTTCTTTTTCTTAAAAAGAACAATTCAATTTTCAAAATATTTTTTCAATAAGAAATGGGGAAAAATCATTTGATTTATACAAAAAACATCGAATTTCTAAATCTATTTCTTATTCTCATATATTTCATTTGATTTTTCTTAAAAATTGAATCTACTACAGGTATAACCTCTCTATAGTAGATACCTAAGGGACCGTCTCAAAGTGTCCACTTCTGAGAGGATTTCAGTTTTTTTCGTAGTAATTATTTCTACAGTCACTGAAGCGAATCAAATTTCCTTTTTCAATATTATTTTGCAAAGAAAATTGTGCTGAGGATATTTTATATTATAATTTATTGAAAACTTTTTGATTTTCATCAATACATTTTGAAAAAGCCAGTTATAGAACTTTGTTTTGCGACATTTTCGTATCAAGGTAAAGATCAGTTATCTTCAATTCGACTTCGCTGATAAGTACGGGGAGTTCAAATTGTTCTTTCGACTCGAATAAATGTAATCTTCGCAGTAGATCGATTGTTTTGGATAATTTTAGAGATATCTCTTCGATTGATTCCTCTTTTTTCGACGGCATCAGCATCGATGATTTCAACAAGGAGATCGCTGTTATAGTTTCATGCATGAAAGACAGAAATGTTAGAGTCGATTTTTCTAATTAATCTATTTCATTTTCTTCTTTATTTTTATCCAATTCTATTGACTATCGATTCTTTTACTCGTCATATTAATCAAATCAAGACCTATACACATGTACACCTTTGACTGAATGAAAAAAGTATAGTGACCTTAAACAAGTATCCATATTCAAGAGATTCATTTGCAGCAAAAACAGCTAGGAAGACTAACACAGGTATTCACAATGCAGAAGTACCCACATAGGGCGATTTTATGGTATAATGATGAATAAGAATGAAACTATAAAAAAATTAATGAGAAAAAAAAAGGCCTAATTAGTTTTGCTGAATTTTTCGATAATATATATTTGTACATTGAATATTCGAAAGAACAATTTGTAGATTGATTATAATATGAAACATGGATTTATTAAATACAATCAAACAACAAAAGAAGTTTAATCATCTTTCTGTAATTGATGTGTGTTCATAAATCTATCCCATAATGTTAGAAAACTTCCATAATTCATTTTAGCATGTTGATGATGATAATCATGTTGTAATGTTCCAGACATTAACCATGGAAAATAATATTGAGCACTTATATATGGTAAATCATAACCACTATGTGCATTTATTGTTTGATAAACACGAATAAATACCCATAAACATATTGTAAATAAATGTTTTTCTTTGAAAAATATTGGTACAATCCAAACAGCAAGTTGATTTTGTAATAATGATTCCCATGGATTAGCTATAACAAAAACAACACCAGTTGGTTGTTTAAATATATGATGTTTTTTATGAATATGTTTATATAACCAACGTGTATGAAATAAATAATGTGTCCAAAAAAATAAAAAATCTTCACTTAATA